AGAATTCATCTAGCTGATCCCAACTAGCTTTGGGTTGAGGCATAGTTGATTGATCCTTGATATCGTGTATATTAACAGGTTCACCTCTTATTCTAGGCAGGAGGAGATGCAGTAGGAAGAGTTGAATTCATGCAGATATATCGGAGTCGAGAAGTTGGTCAATCATATATTACCTCTGTTGGGACGACATTGATTGCTATGGCACATGCGTTGTGGTTGATGATCAAGATCAGATCCGAAGTGGTACCAGACAAACTTAGTTCATATTACTTTTTCGGAAACCCCCTTTCCCGATGCAACCTTTCTGCATTTCCAGATTCTTCTTTCCTTTTAAGATCCTGCTTAACTAATTTATATATTTTTTGATATCCCAGATCTTGTGCAATGGCCCAGGAACATGTGTTCCACTATGTGTAATTGCCTTCTTTTTTAAGGTTCGTATGTTAGAGAGTGATTTTTCTGTTTTTTGATTTATTTCGATTTGCTTCAGCATGAAAAAATTGCTTGTTAAACGCTTGATCCCATTAGGTTTGAGGTTGCACATGGATTATATCTGTTATATTCCTGATTTGGGATATCAGGCTCTTAAGAGCTTGGTTTCAGCATGAATCCACTTAACTTTTATTCGTAGAAAGAACATTAAAAGTATATTAGTTGTTAGAACATTTCTATGTTCTCTTTTGGGGCACCATGGTAGGTGTTATTGAGAACTCTATTTACCAAATTTCGAGCTTATTTTGTAATCCTATCATACTCCAACAACCATTGGCCCTTCCTCTATTAAAAAAATAATAAATAGAGAAAAATAAACGAGAACAAATAGATGAAAAGGGAGAGAAACAGTTAATAAACTGAACAATGGATTAGAGATATCCCTCAGTCAGCTTGAATCATTGACCTTGATAGCTCGGTGAGGGGTTAATCAATCATTTCCATTACAGTAGGATTCGGTAAAGCTACTTGCATTTTTGTTTTACTTAGCTGACAATTTGAGACGCTAATGAAACTTTATAGCTTCAGGTCTTGGGAATAAGGTGGTCATCTGTTTTCTATGTGGAGAGCATTGCAAGAGTCAGGAAACTTTCTTTGAGTGGTTTGCTTCTTTACAAGCTACACATGGTTGATCAGTTATTCGTCCAATGGCCACAATTGAAAGAGAAATATCCTCGAGCTCATTATGTGGGTTGTCTTATGTAAATAGAGTTGTTCCCAAGGTACGTCTCATAGTCGAACTCCTTTTATGCTCTTGGAGGAACTTAATAGACTTGGTTTTCGTAACGGATGCCCTTCTTCTCTTCGACAGTAATTTTGCTGTCTTCGTGAGCTAAAAGTTGATAATTTTGAAGTTATATTCACTGACTTGAATACACTTACTGGTCACATATAATTGAAAAGATCGACAGGATTTTTTTGCTATCGAAGTTGGCTTTTCCTTTTAAGAATGTTTTAGAGAACAGTAACAAGGTAGTTGAGTTGATG